AAAAAAAAGCGGGGGGGAGAGAGCGGGGGGGAGAGAGCGGGGGGGAGAGAGAGAGAGAGAGAGAGAGAGAGAGAGAGAGTTCTTACTTGGGCACGCATGCGCTACACTGATGAATCCAACGAGTCGCTTGCCCGGGTCCAGAGACCCGGGTAACCTTCTCAAGGTTGACCGTGACGGGGACAAATTGTTGTAATCATCGATATTTGAACTGTGTTTTGGGCCGCACGCGGACTACACCGCTGAATCCCGCAGGTTGACGTGACTGTATCGGACCGGAAAGATAGCTTGTATACTTTTATCGAGTTACTATTATTATTAGTTACTATTATTTACATTATCATTATCATCATTATTATTGTTGAATTCCTATTACTATCATATATTCTTTCTTTTCCCCCTTATGCGGGGCAACTGATTTGAGACGTAATTGCGGCCAGATCTAGGCTACTTAGTAGGAACTACTAGGAAGGTTATTGACGAAGAGAGAGATGAGGGCAAGATCGAAGGGGGAAGACAGTCTAACTAGATGCTTACCTGGTGTACCTAGCAACAGCTTCCTTTTCCGTTCGTAGCCGCCATCTCCATTCTGGTTCACGCCCGCCACAAGCACAGCCAGACGCGTTGTGAGCCCGTAGCGGGCTGGTCGTGTGAGTCCGAACACGTATCGCTGGTGCTGCAGGAGGGCACATACACCTTAGTGGACGGGAGCTGCCCAAGTGGGTGATCGAGCTAAGGTGACACGTGCTGGCCTAGGTGCACGTACGCTACACCGATGATTTCAAATTCTCGCTATCTTCACTTACGTTTCACGTTGCCATTAGCGCTTGCGCTGAATCTGATTGTTTTCACAACCAGATACGTGCCATTGAGCTCAGTGCGTGAGCTGAGTTGGTCATGGTGGTAGGATGAAGCGGAGCAGAGGAGAAATTTCCTTAAATGTGCACGTACTGCGATGATGAATTCAGCGAGTTTCCTGGCTTCCCTCACACCGATTGTGCCGAGCGCGTGCTTTTTCTGCATGTCATTCTTTTTTTTTACTGTTTTGTTCTGTTTCATTCCTCCTGCATCTCATCTCATTCTGCTTTCCGAATCTGGCCGTTATTGCGGCCAGATACGGCGATTATTGCGGGCAGATATGGGCATTATTGCGGCCAGATATGGCCATAGGGGAAGCATGGGGAGAATGTGCAGGGTAGAAGAAGGGAACGAGAGGAGGAGAAGCGAAGGGGAGAAGAGAGGCGACGGGAAGACAAAGGATGAGGGAAGGAGATTGGCCCCTGCCTGGGAATGACACGGATTGTGGGAAGCTCTAGCAGCGCCGAGTGTACAGACTACTTGCCTGATTGGTGACGTGTGATGCAGCTGTGGGGCCAGGTTCGGTTGAGTTGATGGACCAGGCATTAAGAGTGTGGTGACCAGGGGCCGAGATGATGTTATGTGACAATGATCAAGGGGCTCGCGAGTTACCCGGAAGGACAGTCAACTGGTGGACTTCGATGCACTGCTCTCCGCTGAGTTACTACTGTGGGCTGGTGCGGTGCTCGGCGGCAGCTGCTGCTGTTCCAAGTCCGCATGCAGCAACCGTGTAGCTGCTTTCTTAACAGCCGGACTGCTGATTTCTCGGCAGCCGTCCTGCAGTTTCTGCGCAAGGTTGCGCTATTGCTTTCGCAGCAAGCAGCTGTTTACGACATCAAGGCGCTGCTGTTTATGCAATGGTTCAATCGCCGAAACTTCAAGGTGCTACTATGCTTCCTAGCAGGCCCACTGGGCTTTCACCTCTGCAGCAGCTATTTCCTGTTTCGGGGTGTTGCCGCAGCAGACTGGTTTGCTGCTTTGAGGCTTTGTTGTAGCAGACTGGTTACTGCTCTGGGATGTTGTTGCAGCAGGCTAGTTGCTGCTCCAAGGTGGTGTTGTAGTAAGCTGGTTGCTGCTCCAAGGCACTGTTGCTTGATGCTCTGGAGAAGGAAGGCTTCGGTTCGAAGGGCTTCACTATTCCATGCTAGTCTGAGAGTACCTCTCCTGCATCTTGAGCGACTACAACTTTCTCTATCGGCCCTTCCCAATATCAGTCTGGTCAATTGGTTCTGGAGGAAGCGGCAGGTGGGATTGTCACCCATTCTTCGCGCAGAGGCCCTTGTAGGGGTGACACCACCGATTGCGGGACGAATGCCAGAGTCCAGATGGGACTCTGGAGAAAGGGAACTGCACGTAGGGCCCCCTCACTTGTATGACTAACAGTTTGACACTAAGGGTCCGCCGCCGAAGCCGAGACGTGGACGGGTGGCCCCTCGTTTACAGGATTAACGTTCAGAACCAAGGGTCCACCGCCAAAACCGAGAGGTGGAGGGGTGGCCCCGCGTTTACATGTCTAGCAACTTCGCAACGAGGGTCCGCCGTGAGGGCCAAAAGGCGGGAGGGTGGCCCCTTGCTAATATACTTGACGATTGAATTGGCAGAGAGGGTCTGCCGCTAAAGCCGGAAGGTAGAAGGGTAACTCCTCACTTGTATGACTGTTGATACAACACGGAGACCCACCGCCAAAGCCATAGATGGAGGGGTGGCGCCTCGCGGGCATGGTAGAACCTTTGACACACCGCCGATGTCTTGGGGAAGAGGGGAAACCGCCAATGTCCTTTGGACAAGAGGGGTGACCGCCAATACCTTTGGATGGAGGGGTGACCGCCAACGACGGAAGGGTAACTCAATGCATCCCAGTTGCCACGGCAGTCCCTACCATTGGTCATTGGTCCAGTGTGCTGAGGTGACATCCATACCCCAGGTCACATCACTTCGTGACGTCAATCGCCGCCGCCTTTCTGCAGAATACGACGAACATGTCACCTGGACAACCTCATTGGATGATGGCAACCACGCCTTAGTGTCGTCCATCAACCTCCACCACCCGCCGCCCTTGCCACGACTACTACCGATCCATGGTCAAGTGCACCCTTACTGCGTTCGTCCTCATCACCAAGTCGTCCATAACCAGGCTGCTCTACCAGCCGTCCTTCCCTCGGCAACCTTTGTCAACCGGATCATGAGGGTGCAGACCCTACCTTAGACCTCCATATCCTTCTAAAGTAAGAAACCATAACCACCCGCGCTGCCTGTCACAATTCCATCCTTGTTTGAAGTTATTATTTTTGCTGGAACAGTCAAAAAACAAAAAAGGAAAAAGAAGCGGGTTGAGTCCCGTTTGGCTGAATTAAAAGAAGTTCAAGACACTCTAAGAAAATTTCCACAGCTTTTGAAGTTTCGATTCTTTGCTGTATCGAGCTTTCAAAGTTGAAACTCAAATCTTTCTAACTTTCTATTTGATATGAAGTTCTGAACTTCTGCAGTCAAAGTGTATAGCGAGCACGTTAGCACTGTGCACATACAGACGATGGTGGCGTACCTGGAGTTGCAAACAACGAACATGATAAAACACAGACACACACACACACACACATACATTGACGTCCACCTCCACCTTGCGAACATGGCCCCAAAAACGCAAAAAAAAGACAGAAGCAACCTGCAGTGCACCGCTGCCGCATATGTGTGCGACCTGCTCATCCCTGCTCACTGGCTGGCACATCAGTGCACAGCGCATTGGTCACAAATGCACCACACCATGCATCCCACATCGCACACGGCGCACACTGGTGCTGCATGGGTGCGTGCACATGGGGCACTGGGGGAATGGTGCATGGCGCACTGCAGGCATGATTGCCTCTCTTAGGTACCATACAGTAGGCCTTACAGAACTTCCAGGTAGTTACCGTACAGTAGGCCATACAGAAACTTCCAGGTAGGTACTGTGCTGTGGCCATACAGGTACCAGTACGTAGAAGTCTGTAGAAGTCATAGGGGTCAGTCGTTAGGTACTGGATCGTTGAGGCCAGCGGCAGCCAAGGGTCTGATGTCACAACTCTAAATTTGGAAGTGCAGCAAGTAAGAAATGCAAGGATCTGCCCCTCAGCATACCGCAAAGGCCATTTTGTGCCAGCCCTAAGTGAAGGCGGCCGTGCATTTCCCTATGGGCCTATTTTCGGCCCAGAGTGCAGTGGGCCCCGAGGCAGTTGCTTTCCATGAGGTGGTTGCTGGAAGAGAGCTTCCAGAAGGGCCCCACATGCTGGATGCTGTCTCACAGCATCTTCGACTACCAGGTAGGTCCTGGCAGTTGAAGATGCTGCTAGCCTCAGATGCTGAGGCCCAGGACTCTTACAGTTTTGAGCCCCAGGCACATTCTGGAAGGCCCCTGGAGCACAGCTACTCGGACAGGGCACACCAGTCCAGCCAGGCCACAGCTTCGCCAGCCAGCCAGATTCCATGAAGGAAAGAGGCAGGCCAGAGCCAGAGGCACTCTGGCTGGCACGTGGTGAGGTCGGGCGCTGGCCAGAGGGAAGCGCGCACAGGCGCAGGTCGTCTGCAAAGGGTTTGACTCCCCGAGCGAAATTGCGATGAAGAGAACCCCCGGGTGTCAGTGCTCCGCCGCAGGAGGGACAACTCCGAACTTATGCTTTCAGGGAGAGACGGGCTGGTTCTATCAACAGTCATGTGTCATCCGAGGAGGCATACGCCATTGCTGCAAGCACAGATTTTGACTTAGAGGCATTCAGTCATAATCCCACGCAAGATAGGTTTGCACAGCTGGCTTTTCAGCCAATTGCACAATTGCCAATTGTGGGCCAAAGCAACTAACAACACTCATCAGTCCACAAAAAGAAATTGTGGACCATTCATACAAGCGCCTATGAAACACTACTTGTGAACCTGCGACTTAGCAGATGCAACTTGACATTACAGTTCATCAAACCTCACCTGCAACATATGTTAGACTCTCTTAGCACCAACTCATACTAGGCTTCCTAGGATGCATCTGACAGCATAAAGTTGTAATACAGTTCAATACAGAAAGCCACAATGCAAGTATGCCTTTATGATGGGTGTGAGACAGAAAGACAAATTATTACTCCGTTGAGTCGAGACATGCCTCAAAGGGCAAACCTCCTTACCATAGCTGATTCAACTGGGACTGTCCCATCGCCATCAACATTACCGAACTCCACCTGACAGAGATGAACAAATGAGGCCACGAGGGACCACCAATTAGAAGGAGAAGAAGTTGCATGAGCAACAAACACTGAGGGCCCTGCCATGAAAATTATCGGCCAGCAACATCCACTGGCACAACAACCCCACACACATCAAACACATGGCATGCAAACACCCACAAAAGCACACTATCTTTAACACAAAGCGTCCCATACTTCAACAATCAAAATGGTACAATCCTGGCCATTTCGGAGTGCAGTGAGACAAAAAAAAAAAAAAGTCGTTCAATATAGGCTACCAGACGGGCCTCGCGGGTGACCCTGTTTCTCCTAGCGGCCTGGCTGTGCAAGGACCAGGGGAGGTCCCAGCCAAAAACAAAAAACAAAAAACAAAATCCGAAAAAAAACTATATTATGAAGAAAAATAAACTGAGTAACTTTTGACTCAGGGCCAAATTCTTTACCAAATTTGAAATAAAAAGTGAACTTGAAACATAATTTTTTTTTTTATTCCTTTATGGCCCGACCAGGCAAGTGGTCCCGGGCCACTTTGGAAGCATATGTTCAATTGCAAACGAAATGAAAGCACCTGGAAAGAGAAATAGGCGAAGGAGGAGGAAGAAAGAAGAATAGGACGTACAGCAGCAAACACCAATCTTGAATCCCACTCCATCTCGCCAACTCACTTCATCCCCCTTATCTCCCCCAACCTCTTCATTCAATAAATGATAATAATAACAATGAAAGACTGAGCCAGAACCAATGTCCGAGTCTCCTACTTCCTGCCAGCAGCACATAAGGTCCACCATAGCGATGACCTACTGCTTCTACCACCTTCTGGTGGTGGTGGCTATGGCAAACTAGTGGGGCCTTGCCCCAATGTTCAAAGGACAACGCAAAACTGACATGTCCCCTCTACTCAGGCAGTCATGCGTAACTCTGCCCCTGTCTCTTATACACATCTAGATGTGTATAAGAGACAGCACATAAGGTCCACCATAGCGATGACCTACTGCTTCTACCACCTTCTGGTGGTGGTGGCTATGGCAAACTAGTGGGGCCTTGCCCCAATGTTCAAAGGACAACGCAAAACTGACATGTCCCCTCTACTCAGGCAGTCATGCGTAACTCTGCCCTGAAGCCTTCCTTGAAGCAGCCCACCCGCACTGGGGCCTTCCAGGTGCAGCGCCCACCAAGAAGGCCAAGGTGCCGTCCACCAAAGCCAGGTAAGTACCGCGCCAATCTCCTCCTAGCCCACCTTCTTCCTCCTCCTCCTCCTACACCCTGKAGCCTTCCTCCTTGGGGCGCTCCACCATAGCCAAGGTGGGCAGCCAAGTCCGGCTGCTTACTCCCCAGTGCTGGTGCTCCCAGCACTCGCTCCAGCAGTGTGATGACAAACTTGCGCACTGCACATGAGGGAGAGTAATGAGTGCTCTCCCGAAGATATACCGGCAGCTTGCCTCTTGGGCGGTGACCTTCCAGGCTGCTCAGCCTCCATAGCATCCGGTACCTTCCTCCTTTCAGAGGGAAACATCATTGCAGGTCTGATATCGTCCAGTACAGGCCATGGACTCAGACTACTGGACTGGTACCCCTAGACCTGGAGCTACCAGATTTTTTTAAATTACTAGGCCTCTAAAGGTACTAACTTTTTGTCTACTTCTGCCTACCTACTCGCTACTAGAGTATTTTCCTAGCTAGGTGGGCCTACCCTACCCACTACTAGTGTGCTTTTCAACTAAGCAGGCCTAGCCAACCAGTACACACTGCAGCAACCCACAAGGAATGGCCACAGGTAAGTGTCAGGCTTGAGGGCCTTCCAAGCAGACAAGTACCCTGGCGGGTCACACACACACACCGAAGAAACCATGCACTCAGACAAGCACACGGGAAATCAGCAAGCATGCACACACACAGACTTAGAAATCTCAGCAGAAAGCGGGAAAATCAGCAAGGCACACATTGCAGTGGCAAAACTCAGGAGAACAGCAGAGTTCTGAGTCTGTAATACTGCAGGTCATTACATTGCAATGACTTGCTGTTTTCTGGTTGCCTGTAGCCTCTCTCTGTCAAGGCTGTACTATAGGTAGGACAGATTCGCAATTTTGTTTGGCTGAGGGCTAACCGAGAGACCTACCTGTAAGGGCAATTCGTGAGGGATATGTCTGCAAATCCGGGGAAAATACAGGCCCGGTACTAACAGGATTCCCTACAGCTACCCTAACTGTGAATAGCAGGCCCGGGCTACCCCTAGGACAGACAGGCCCTAAGGGCCTATTCTGATAGACGGTCTTATAGCCTATAGCCGGGTCCGGTAGAAGCCGAGAGGCCGGAGCAGATACGGTACCGGTCGGTCAGTCAGTCGGGTCTAGGTCGAGTCTAGGCTAGTTGTAGTCTATAGATAGAATGGGCACATTGGTTCAGGGCTTTTGGCAGTTGGTACCGAGTACATCGCTGCTGCGCTACGCGTGAACCGGAAGTGGTGACGGCTCAGCGTGGAAGGAGACAGGCATAGCCAGACCGCCGGCCATAGCTGGGACCTGCGCTGTACTCTGCCAGCACGCAGGGGCTGACAGAGGTCTGCTGGAGGCGAGAGAGATTGGTGCCCTGATGGACCCTCCTCCGGAGTGGGGTTCCAGGGTGTTGACGCTGCAGCCATAGCTGCAGCTTTCTTCCTCAGAGGTCATCTTGTCAGGGTTTGGTGGCGCTGCTGCAGACTTCCACCCGGGAAGTCTTCCGACACCTCGTCATCATCAGATACTGTGGCGCTGGTCTTCTTCTTCATCCTCGGAGTGGCGCTTGGCCTCAGAGGCCTGTTTCAGGGTGGCGCTTCCCTTTGGAGGCTGTATCAGGGTGGTGCTTGATGTTTCAGGGGCTCAGGGGTGTTACGGGTGGTTGCTCAGGGTTGGGGAGTGAAGCGCTGCTCATTTCTGAGCAGCGCACTGTAGTACTGAAGTTATCCTGACAATTCGAGACTCTGAGTTTAATAAGCAATGTGTAACTGGGTCTGGACTATCATCGTTTCATTGTTTCCTGGATGTGATCTGCTCGGCTTTTCTCTATGACTGGTTGTGAGGATTGAGTGGAGTGAATTGCACTTTCAGTGTACCCTGTCATATCGCATGGTCAAGTCTTCCACTGTGTTATCTCTTCCTGTGCCATGTGATACTCCTATCCTCTCCCCTTCCTTCTATGTATGTATGGGCATACTTGGAAGTCTATGTGAGTGAGTGTTGGTCATCAGACAACAAACAACCAGAATCATAACAGTTGGTATCGGAGCAATTGGATCCAGACTCTGGAGTGATTGATGAGTTGGAGCACCCATCATCATCTGGCGAGATGTTGGAGTTGAGTCTCATGGCGATTCATCATCTTCAGGGTTGTTGTCAGTAAGGGTGGTGGCTGTGACTGTGTGGCAAGAAGAATTGGACAGAGGGTGACTCACTCCTGACTAGGGTTGTGCAGGAGTGGTTGGCGATTGGTGCTCAGAGGCCTGAGACTCTGAGAGGCTCTGGGAGGTTATTTTTAGCCTGGCGATTCATCTGGAGACTGGCGATTGTCAAGGAAGTGATCCCAGGAGGTTGCGATTATGGAATTGGGTAGTAATGTTTTTTGTAGCTTTTTTTTGGGCTTTCTACCGTACATTTTCGGTCACATCCACTCCGGGATCCAAGGGAGTTGTTCCTTCAGGCTGTGTAGAGTTCAATCTCATTCGATTGAGTTGGATCAAAAAGAGAGTCTGCTCGCTCTGGCCAGACCTTTCTCTCAGGCGTAGGTTCTTGTAATTTCACGGAAATCGGGAAGCCGCCGTTAGGCGCGATCACCAAAAAACCATTCTACTATTGGATAGGCAAAATCTCTGGACTTCAATATCCAGAAACCTTAGGTCAAATTCATTTTTGGATTACTTTCTTTGGTGTGAATTTGACTTTCTTTCCTATGCATTTCTTAGGTCTTGCGGGCATGCCACGCCGCATTCCGGATTATCCAGACGCTTATGCCGGATGGAATGCACTGAGTAGTTTTGGCTCTTATCTTTCTGTTGTATTTGAATTCTTTTCTTTAGAGATGAATTCATTTCATTATGTTCAAACAAGGGATAAAGCATAATATGGGAACTCTTCAAGAATACGACTATTTATGGTTTTTTGTGGTTATAGCAGGTATTGTACCTATTCTTGCTTTTACTATTTCTGAAATTTTAGCACCTATTCGTTCTGGCCCTGAAAAGCTAACTAGCTATGAATCCGGAATTGAACCTAAAGGACAAGCATGGATTCAATTTCATATACGTTACTATAATTTCATTTTGTTTGTTGTTTTTTTAGATGTTGTCAACGCATGAAATGAAACAAGCCGCTTCTCAATTTATCACACGTACTATAAAACAAGAAAGATTGAAACCCCACCCGAACGGGTGGGTAATTGGTACATATCATGCATGACATTCAATTCAAAATGAAAGCTATGCACAATGATTTTTGATAAGTTTTGCTTCTAGTTTACCAAGAAAGGGCGTAATTGCAAAGTATAAGAAAAAAAAAACTGATGCAATTTGTCCAATAGTTACATAGGGTGCTTCCACAGCACGAAGTGTTGATTCGATCAAAGCATTTCGCAATGTCGGCAGACACCTGTAAATATGTTCCAACAGTAATCCATTTTTCACTTATTTTCAAAGATTAGTGCCAAAATAGGCGCTTTGTTCACCTTCTTCACTCTAGTTACTGGAAGTTTTTTGGGGAAATAACTCCACGGTGGTACCATACCAAGGATAATTCAGGATTCCGAGTATTCTCTGATTGTAGAATCTTAATATGTCAGCATGAATTTGACTGTCTTTGCGGATACCGCTAAATACCTACCAAGAAAATTCGGGAACGCCTTCAACTTTTTTGTCAACCAGCGTCCAAGCATACCGCTACCGATAGATAAGGAGGCCTTTCTGAAAGTGTGCTACTACATAATAAGTGTCATGTAGAGCAATTGTCGTTTTTTCTGGGTCATCGTTA